TGTTTAACTGGAATCCATGGCTAACTATGCTAATAACTGGGTTAGCGGGACCCCTGCTTCTCCTTCTGTTGGGGTTAATCTTTGGACCTTATCTGCTAAATTGGTTCCTTAATTTTATAAAACAGCACATAGCTTCTGTCAAGCTTCTGTATCTCAGAACTCAATAAAACCCCCTTGTTATAGCTGAGGAATCAACGATTTGATTCCCCAAAAACACAAGTGGAGAATGTGATAACCTACCCTTTGTTAGCCTAACCACTTTCCTAGCTTTTTGAGATGGACAGACTCAATTTTAGCTTCTTCACTTGCCCCTTGTTTTCTTTTCCCTTCCCCTGAGCAAATAACTGGGTTAGGCTGACTCCAAACAGACCCAGAAATGTCCTTACTGATAAGATACCGAGTGGCTGTACCAGCCACACTTGGGATGCGTTTGCCAATGGTATCAGCTGCTCCTGGAATGTGCCCACATTTACACCTGTTAGCTTCCTGTAGTAGTTTATCCTTTTAACTTTTTGCTTGTTCTGCTTCTGTAAACTCTGTTTTAGCTAGGCTAAAACCTAGCTTTATACCCTCCTTTAAGCAAGGTATAAAAGAAAGCAAAAGCCCCTTCTTTGGGCAGAGAGAATTTGAGTGTTAGCCATCTTTCAGTCACCAGCAAATAAAGGACTCCTGTTTCAATTTTAGAGTGTGGTGCTTTCTTCAACTTGCTCCACCTGTACTTGTATTTTAGGTTGATTTTAGTATTTCTTGGCTCAGAGGAGAAGTTCATTTAGTTGGCTAGAGAGCTTATAGTTTCATTTTTGGTTTGCATACCTATATCCAGGTAAGAAGGACCCACTCAGGAGAGCTTGTGGAGAACCTGGTTTGCAGGGCTGCTTACAGACCTGCTCTGCCTCCTGTTGTCATGCACGAGAAAAGACAACCCTCAGCCATCTGGGGAGAAGCTGCATCTACAGAGGACAGTCATGACTTGTGAGTCTAGAGACCTGTGTATGTCTTCGGGGGCCTCTAGTCCTTAGCTTTCATGGGAGTTGTGTGGGTGCTGGCTCAAATAGCATCCACCAGGATTTTTAGTAGAATATCTCATTCACAGAAGGCAGTGGGTGACATGACAGCACAGAGGGACTCTGGGTCCAGCTGCATGGAGCATTCTTGGAGAGACACTGGCACCCATGCTAGATGGAGCTTCAGGCAACTTCTGAATCACATGGATTTGGATCTCTTAACATAGTTTTGAAAGTCCATTTATCATTCTGAAGCAACCACTGTAATTAACTAAGATAACATCTTTAGTAGCTGTGAATAAAAAGTGATTATTTTATTGCTAAGATTATTACAAGGAAACAAACAAAAATAGCATGAAGGAAAAGAGCAATACTAAACTGAAGGCTTTGGGTAAGAGTTTGTGACTCAGGAGTGAAGTGCCGGGACCATCTTCTGTCAGAAAAGAGGAAAAATCAGGAAACAGAAATGTGCAGGAGAGGCAAAATCTTGCTTAGTAAAAAAATCTTAAGAGAAAAGAAGTCTCCTTCCTGAGCACTAAGAGGCAGAGAGAAATCTTCAATGTGAAAAAATCATGAAAAAATGAAGACTACTCATGTGTTCTGCATGAAGAGCACATTGCACTGGGCACCTCGCAACAAACAGAAGTGGAGCCAAAGATCCCAGACCCTAAGTGTATCCCAAATATGACCCCTCACCCACCTCCACCCCACTGCCCCACTGTTGGGCATCCTCCATCACCTTCTACCTGGAACACAGCCTTCATCTCCCCAAACCTCAAAGATCACCCAGATTCTCCTTTGCCCCTTGTTTTATGATAAATGGTCCCTACTCTCAGGTTCCTAAGGCTGGGACCACAGGTCTGATATCTATTTCCTTTCTTCTCACACCCATAGACTTTTCTGGGACCTACTCTGGCATCCCCCATGCTGGGAATCCAGATCCACCATCCTTGTAAGCTCCCCGGAATCCAGCACTAACTACCTAAAGCTTTGTTTTATTAACCTTCCAAATGCATCCTCTGATAGGAACCTGGCTGAAGCAGTCAGCATCTTCTCAGCAAAACCCCCAAGAAGGAGGGGAAACCTGCAAACATCATGTTGGTGTTGGGAAGATGCATATAGTCCCCTATTTCATGTCTTACACTTTTCAGCAATTAGGGCTTCAGTATGAATTTAGAAGACACCATTCACTTCACAGCAGATGGCGACACAGTCAAGGCAGTGGTGATATGCAAGGCTGAGCTTTCAGTCTCAGAGCACAGAGCAGCTTCTCCACAACTCCACACACTGGTGGCTCCTCCCAGATGTTCCAGTTGTTGCACGCCATTCTTGCCTTAGTAGCTCCAAGATGATAATGCCACACTAGCCCTCTCCTTTCCCAGGGTTTCTAAGAACTTAGCACTCTTGTGTATTAGGGGATTTGTTTGCCATGTAAAGGCAGATCTTTGACATAGCCATTTATGGGATTTCTACTTCTGATAGAAAAAGTAAATACATAAATAAATTCATCATAAATAATAAATTGACTTAATATATCGAATCTATAAAGAAAGCTCAGTTTAAGAGCTTAAAAGGAGTCTGCGGAGGTTAAAAAGACAAATTATTTTCAGTGAAGGACAGTTAGTGCAACAGATGGCTTTTTAAAAAAATCAACATTTTAGGAGTAATTATCAAACAGTAAATAACAACTTGAAATAAGCTGCTATACATATAATTTTATAGTCAAAAATTTATTTCCAAGAATCCTATAAATACATTTTCAGGTTAAAACAAACAAAATATGTGGGTTTATCATCAGATCAGCTCAATGGAAGGTTTTTCAAATGTGTGCTTGAGGCAAAAAGAACATTTATCTCTATTTGAAAGTTCAAGCTTTTTTGATCTGTAGAAGAAAACAGCTTTCCCTTCACTCTGTTCCACTCATGCTGCTGAGGATGGATGTGGGGGCAGCAACTGTGAGGAAGGAGGAAAGCTGTGCACTGAGGGTGGTTGTGGCCTCAGCCCACCTGAGTGACCTCGTGGAGCAGAGCCGCTGATACCACCAAGGTCACCCACCTGCCTCTTCACTGTCATGGCACAGTCACAGAACCTTGTGCCATCTAGTCAACTGCAAATAGAGGCTTCTTTGTATCAGCCAAGTCTGGTTCTCCTTGTGTTTTCTCTCAGGTTTAGGGGATTGTTTTGGAGAATATAGCCCTTGGCTACTTCAGCATTATGTAAGTTCTTTTTGTTGTTGTTGTTAAATATATCTAACCACCTTGAATTGGTTGGGACTAGCTATGCCTCACCGCAAAGTAGAAATTCAAGCTCCTTAGATGATGTCATTCACATTAGGGCTGAAGGTGACAATAATATTGCTTAACTCCAGGTCAGACTACTTACACTTTGTATCTTATTATTTATTATTATTTTTTTTTTTCAGACAAAGTCTTGCTCTGTTGCCCAGGTTGAAGTGGCTAAATCTTGGCTCGCTGCAACCTCCACCTTCCGAGTTCAAGTGACTCGCCTGCCTTAGCCTCCAGACAGCATGACTGGGATTACAGGTGCATGCCACCATGCCTGGCTAATTTTTGTATTTTTAGTAGAAACAGGGTTTCACCATGTTGACCAGATTGGTCTTGAAATCCTGATCTTAGGGAATCTGCCTGCCTCATCCTCCCAAAGTGCTGGGATTACAGGCATGAGCCATGGCGCCCCGCCACACTTTGTGTTCTTCAACTGCATTTTGCATAATGGCTTTTAAGCTCAGTGATGCATTTGTCAGTAATTTTAAAAACATACTGTGTCACTTTTTTTTCATTTGATGGCTCCAGTGTGATTGCTATCTATAATAGTATTGCCATACAATTTTTAAACCTAGCAGAAATGAAACTTTGGAATTTTTATTGTATGTACTATGGAATCTGTTCTCTTGGAGTAAACAATCATCTCAAGTATACCTTATACCCTTAGCCTGAAGCAAATCTTCTTCTGTGATTCAGTCACTATTTTTTGTCCATCACACGGTGTTATGACATGTAGCTCACATGACTATTAGGTTCAGTTTCATTTAGAGCACTATATTTAATAAAATCTATGAAAAGCATAGATGCTCCATGCATTTCAAACTAAAATACAGAATTCAGATTAATTTTCAGGTTATGATGTAATCATGTGAAAAGAATGCATTTCTGTATCCTTGAAAACTTTTCTTATGAAAACATACTAATAAATTTCTACTCTAAAATAGTACTTAGCTAATACGTTCAAAACTTTTGGAATTTGGAAGAGAACTAAAAATCTCACATAATTCTGAATGGTTGATTCTGTATTTGAAATAAACTTTACATTTTTCATATTTGTATTTATGCAGTTTTTTTCAAAGGCCACTTTTAGAATTGTAAAAACTCTCTTTCCCTTGGTAAATAATTATTGAGAGTAATCAATTGTTAGATCTCACACCTGCCATGAGTTTACAAAGTCTATCAGAATAATCCAACCTCAAACATTTTTACTAAGTGTTCTTAGTCATACCTCCCTGCAGACAGCTGGTGTAGAATGCTTTCTCCTGTAAGACACTGGAGAGGAGGGTTCAGTGGGAGTCAGAGAGCAGAATTTGGAAGACAGGCAACTATGAATTTTCCAATATGACTAAGTGTCATCATGTATGTAAAAAACCCCAAGTTGGTCATTTCCCATATGTGTTCCACTTGTGTTGTCACTCAACTGCATCCACAGTCTGGTTATTCTGACAGCTGCATGTACTTGACAATGTGGGCAAGACAGAGAGAGTGAGGATGTGAGTTTTCATTCACTCTCTCTTTTTCATAGCTGTTTTATTCCATGTGTGACCCGTGACTTCTCCTGCCAATGCCTTCACCAGACTGTGGCAGCTGACAGGGCCTGTGGGATCTGAGGCGGGATCTGAGGTGCTGCTGCGGCTCTCATGAACCAGCATCCTCAGCAGCAAACCCTACCCTGTGAAGGCTGCTTCCAACAGCTTTCTCTTCTGCAGACTCAGAGACACTGCTCAGCTCCTCCCCAGACAAGCAGAACTTGTGGGCAGCTGGACCAGCCAGGCTGGGAGGTATTTGTTCGAGGATGTAGCACTGTGGGAGGATATTGTATAGCTTGCATGCAGTAATAAACTCCAACATCCTCAGCCTCTACCTTGCTGATTTTCAGTGTGAAATCAGTGCCTGACCCACTGCCACTGAACCTGTCTGGGACCCCAGAAAAACGGTTGGAAGCCCAATATATCAGGAGCTGTGGAGACTGTCCTGGCTTCTGCAGGTACCAATACAAATAGGTGTTTCCATCACTATGCAGGAGGCTCTGACTAGACCTGCAGGAGATGGAGGCTGGCTCTCCAGGGGTGATGGACAGGGAGAGTGGAGTCTGGGTCATCACAATATCCCCACTGGATCCTGAAATTATGAGAGAAAATTACAAGGTTATATATAAACACTATTAGTAAATTTTATGATTTCTCTTATGTCATTTGTCTCCTTAGTCTTTTCTTTTTTAATTTCATTTATACCATAAACAATAAACATTCCAGAATGAGCACAATATTTATAAGGCACAAGAGGGTTTTATGTTTTTTAAAATCTTAATGAGAGCACTGGTCATTGTTTCTTTTAGGTGGTTTTTAATTTTCAAGAAAAAATATCTAATTCCCTTTCTTGAAGCATAGATTATAGGCCAGTAACACATGGTGAGAATTGACATGGGAGGAGGTGGGGACCCCAGAGCTCATTTTTCCACCCCATTCTCCTCCCTCATCTCCTTCTATGCTTACCAGGGACCCAGAGCATTAGCAGCCCCAGGAGCTGAGCAGGGAGCCTCATTGTGAGAAGAACTGAGGAGTCCTGATCAGTCAAGGCAAAGTTAGAGCTGAGCTTTTATCTCAGACTCACAAGGGAAGGCGTTCCCTAGGGGACAATATGCAAATCCCCTGATGGGTGCAGTGGGGTGGAAAAAGCCAACTCGGGGGAGGGTGTCTTTCTTGTGAACAAGTGGTGATCAAGTCAATTCTAACTGTAGTCAAGGAAATAGGAATCTGACAGGGAAAGATGGGACCTTGGGCAGGGACACCCTGTGTAGGGCATGACTAAGAAAGAACAAGGACTCTGACTATGTGGAAATGTGCCTCTATGATGCACCTCTGGGAGGTGAATGCCACCCTGCTGAGCTCCCACTCAGCTAATTTAGCAAAGGAAACAGCCCCATCCCCACAAGCACTGCGGGACAGAGAACCTACAAATAAAAAACAGCCTTGAGCCAGTTCAAGAGTTGTCTGGTATCTGCTGCTTCCAGGATAACTGTTAAAGAATGTGCGATGCAAGTGTTGGAATCTGCCCTCCCCTGGCTCCTGGCAAGTGAGCCCCATAAGAGCACTCTCTCCAAGGGCCTCACAGAAAGAATGATGTGAATCTCCTACATTTAGAGCCAAGAGCCCAGCTTGAGTAACAGGAAACTGGGAACAAATTTTATGCCTCAGGTAGTGAATATAGAATTCCTGGTGACCAGTTGTTCAATAAATTCCATCATAATCATCCCACATATACCAGATGGACTAGAAGGCTCTCTTAATGGAAGAATTTTCTAGGGTAATGACACAAAATCAACAAACAACAGTTTTGCATTATGTTTTTCTGAGTGGTGTTCAGGGAAACTTCCCACACAGTTTCCCTAGTCATGTGGAATCAGGGCCCGTTAGGGCTTCCAGGTTCTTGTCAACTCAGAAGTGAGATCTGAGTCTCCCCAAGCCTGGATGTGGTGTAGTCTCAGCACTGAGACTGAGAGACTCTGAGTTCAGGAGAAAAGAATGCCTATTCCATTCCAGTGTGTTTAATGAGTAGCTTTGTCTTGAAAAGAACAGAGCCCCTAATAGGCCATTTTGGGTTCTGGAGGCTACACAGACCACACCTTGGAATATTGGTCTGGCTCACCTGCCAGGTGACATGGAAATTGGCCAGACTTTAGTAGCAGGACCCAAGGCAGAAAAGGTCTCTGCAACAGGTTTAACCTGCACTGCAAACAGCCTGGCACATAGGCCAGTGAGACACAGACAACACCATCAAGCATGCGGACATCATTGGCACTTAGAGAACCCTCCACCATGCACCCGATTCCAGGGTCTTTTCAAAACATTTTCTAAGATTATATTTTGGGACCCAAGATATTTTAAGGAAATTAAATGAATTTAAACCATACAAAACGAATTCTCAGAAACCAAAGGAATTGTATTAGAAATCGGGAAAAGAAAGTTAGAAAAATATCCAAATATTTAAACACTAAGTAACACACTACTAAATAAAACTTGAGACAAAGAAGAAACAAAAATAGAAACTACCAAAGTATTTTGAACTGAAGGAAACCATAGTATATCTAAATTTCTAAGACTCAGAAAAGGGAATCTCACAAATTTACATATGCAATGTTATCTCTTAGTTCAAAATACTTTTATAGTTTCTATTTTCAAATAGAAATAAATTTATAGCCCCCAAATTACAGCAGTATTCATGCATTTAGCAGAGAAGTTTTTAATCAGTCACCTGAGCTGCACTCTGAAATACCAGTAAAAGAAAAGCAAATTACACTCAAAACATTTGATCCTTAAAGCCGGGAATGTGATGAGCACACATCTGCAAAGAAAGACCTGCATTAGGAGTTTCACAACAGAAAAGTCTGAAAGGGATGAGCAGAGTGGGTAACTGCTCAGAGAACTGGGAGATAAGGAAAGTCAAAATAGCAATGATATTGTTATAGGCTGTACATACGTGAGCCTCCCATGAGCTTTCACGTGCCCAAAAGCCAAAAATCATGCGGTACCTGCTGTTTTACATCCTCCTGATGGATGGTGAGAGTGAGGTCACTTGGCAAAGTCAGGAAGAAATGTCCTGAAAGTCTTCTGTGGCAGCAGGTGAGGACACTAGTGTCCTCTCCTAGTACCATAACTTAGCATCCCTACAGCCATGAGGACAGCAGGAAACTTCAGTGGCTGCTCCAAAAATGATGTGGCAACCACTTGCTGGAGAGTCTGTGGGGCTCAAGTGCCCTAAGTTGGGGAGGAAGGAATAGGCTCTGGGAGACATCCTGGAGGGCCCTGGCCCTTTTCACACAGAAGAGAAGCCCATGCCTACAAGTGAGGATTCATGGCCTCTTCTTCAAAGGCTCTCCAGCCATCTCCTACTGAGCCTGACTGCTGGGGATACATCCCCTAAAACCAGCTGCTCATGCTGCACTGAGAAGCTGAGCTTCCTTATGAGGTTTGTTTTTGGGGTCATCACACTCTGCAGGGTCCCAGTGGGTGTCCTGCTCACAGGAGGATACACAATGTCTCCAGGCTCCCAACTGGTGACTGTAATAGTGAAATGGTCAGAATTTTTATTGGATTTGTGTGCCCTCTTTGTTAATATGTGTAAAAATATACCTTGAAGAATTGTCATTTAATTCATGTGCTATAAACAACTTTTTCCTTTTAAATTTGGTCTGTCTGGTTAAGAATATAAATGTAATTCCACTTGTCATGGAATCCATTATCTTGGAATCGAAAATCGTCTCTAATGTAACTTTCTTAATGAAAATCAATAAAAGGATGATTTTATCCTGTTGATTCAAACATCATTTTACTTTATTCCTACCAAGCCATGGCACAGGACTGGCATACTCAGTATTAAAGGATATTAAAATATTCTTAAAGCACACCTTTAAACAGACTATATTGAAAGCAAATATTTTCTATACCATTACTAACGGAATGTAGAAATCAGATTCATGTTCATGTACAAACCACTAATTGTAAAAATAATGCATTCATTTATCATTTGAAAACACTTTTCTTATGATGACTACATAGTATAACATAGTCATCTCTAAAACCTTATTTCAGTAAAGAAATGAAAGGAATCTTCATCCCAGGTACAATGAGTGATGTTAAGAATGGAAAGGCCAAAACAACCACTGCAAAATGTACAAAAAATTTAAAAGAATGAAAAGATTAAAGTTATATAATATTTACTTCAGAAAGTAGTGAAAGGGGAGTAGATGATTTAAATTCCAGGACAATAAATACCCTTTGTCATTGAGCTGACACTCGCCTGACTTTTCGTCCTCCTGCTGTACCTGCCAAGTTTGCATGTGGACACAAGCCCCGAGTTGGCACAGGCAGAGGAACTCTCCTGGAAAAGAGAATGCAGCTGAGCCTCAGGAGTTGCACAGGGCAGCATCTGGACATGGCCCGTGTTCTCCACAGAATATTTGCTGAGGTCTGAGTCATCAAGCTAGTTGGGTTGCCGGGCTAGAAAGACATAAAACTCCCGCAGACTCACTGTGTTCCCCCAATCCCCAAGGCTGCACAGAGCATCCCAAATACCTGCCTGAATCATGAACTTCAGTCTCCATCCCCACTTCCACCCTGCTGGTATATCCCTACTGGGTCTTCTGCTCAGAATGTCAGTGCCTGTGACATCTCCAGACCCAACCAGAGGTCTCTGCTAGACCTCCTCTAGGGGCAGAATGCGTTTCGGAAGCTCATTCTCCTCAGCTCTGTTGGGTTGACTAGGACTGAGTGACATGACCTGAGGTCTTGCACAGGGACTTTACTGGTGCTTACAGACCTTTGGTGATTACAGACCTAAAGCCCTTCTCAAGGCACTACTTTTTCATGAAACTCGTAGAGGTGTTGGCTCCACCCAGGAAACCTGGCAGCGGTTTGTGAAGAACTCTGGTTCTTCACAAGAGACACATCAGGCCTCCTTGTGGGTCCACATAGTGAACTGCCAATCCCACCACCATCCACATCTCTATCCACCATAGGCCAAGAGAGTTTAATTGAAGTTGACCTCTCCTGAATTTCCCTCATGCTCACAGTCCAGCAGTCTGCCCAATCTTAAATTCTTAACTTTGGGAAATGAAAAACTTTACACCATTCTGTACTTTCCCAGTCTTGTATGAAAAAATCCCAAGTGTACATCTTTTAGTATGTGCTCTTTATTTTCAAAACCAGAAGTTGAAATTTCAAGAACTGTTTCTTCCTATCAGCAAGAAGTAATTGAGCCTAATCACAGGTTTAGCATTAGGATCTTGTATCTGCTATGAAGTTACAATACGGGTTTGACACTCAAAAGCCAAAATTTTTTACTGATTTCCCCCAGCCAACCCCTCTGAGAATAACTAGTATACAATGCTCTATCCAGTATCTTATGGAGTGCGAATTAAGTGGGAAGTAGAAGAAGTTAGAAAAGTGGAAAAATATTTATTTTAATTATAATGAGGCTGGGCATGGCTGCTTACGCCTATAATCCCAGCACTTTGAGAGGCCAAGGTGGGCAGATCACCTGAGGTCAAGAGTTTGAGCCCAGCCTGGCCAATGTGGTGAAACCCCGCCTCTATTAAAAACACAAAACTCAGCCCAGCATGGTGTCGTGTGCCTGTAATCCCAGCTACTCAGGAGGCTGAGGCAGAAGAATCGCTTGAACCTGGGAGGTGAAGGTTGCAGTGAGCCGAGATTGTGTCACTGTGCTCCAGCCTGGGTGACAGAGTGAGACTCTGCCTCAAAAATAAATAAATAAACATAAACATAAATATAATGAAACATCTTAAAATATAGCAAAAGCTGTTAAACCCCAAGATATATTCAACATGTGTCAGTGGTCTGGCTGTTTTGCTGATTATGTTTAATTAACTAATGTATGCAAGGCAGGCAGAGTTAGGAGGTGCTTTCATTCTCCTCTTTCTTCCATTCTGCTTCTTTACTCGTGGGGCACTTGCTCTCCCCTTGTCTCTTATTACTTATGAGAGCCAAGGCTGTTACAGGTGACAGGGACATAAACTGCTGGTATCTGCAGTGTAGCTGACACACACATTGT